ACTTCTTCAGGAAGCTTATTTACAACGGAGTACTAAATGAACATCCATAATATATTTATAACAGTATCTTTATTAAATTATTATTTTTCTCATGTAAGGAAAGGTTTGAACAAAAATGTCTTGGAATTTTGAAGTCAAGACACTAGTAATCACTAAAAAATTATAGAGCACTGATATCTCTTGTGAGTTCAATCTTCATTGTTCCTTAACTTAAAGAAAAATAAAACATTTGGGTAATAGTCATTACATATAAAGATATTACTTTTGGTATCGTCAATATAAGTTTAAAAGGTCTTAAAAGACACAATATCTTGAGCAGTAAAGCATTCTCGGCGATAATTTTGGTTTTGTTGATTGATAATTTATTAAATTTGGTAATAATCTGCTTGGATTTGGAGCAAAATCAAGAATCCCAATGTAAAGACTACTGATTGTACAGAATAATTCATTAAAAAAAGTAAAATTAAGTGTAGCTAACCCTTTGATTCATCAACTGACCATTATTTAATCTTAAAGTTTAAATTGTAATTTCTTTCTCTAAAACTTTTAAAAAAAAATAAATAAAAAAAAAGGGTGCTGCTTTTTTCTATGATGTTAAGATATTCGCTGGCTTTGTTAATTTCTCTGTCAATTATATAAAGCTGAAAAGAAATTTATAAAGCTAAGATGAGCACCTTAACTCAATTCACTTTAAACGAAACGAGAATAGTTTCATTGAGATAAAGGAGTTAAAATCTTTTTCGTTAGCCAAAATAAGTACACAAAGTAATGCATCGTTTGGGAAGGAAGGGAAGGGAAAAAAATCATTCCACTGTTTCCAACTCCTACATTAAATAGAAAGGACCATTTGCATACAGATTTACCCAATTTCACAAACGTGAAAGCTGATTAATGTTTGTACAGCCAAATTACAAGGAGCAACTGTAGTTAAACATTTTACACTCTGATGCACACACCTTTCAGCCAACAAAAGAACATTTTAAACATACCCCTCAAAATTAAAGCAAAATTACATCATCTTTTGCTTGCCAAGAGAAGAATAGACTTGCTTCTTGCCATATTTTGGCCATCTAGAACATATAAAAAATGTAATTATATACAATTGTGAGCACAAATATTCTGCGGGTATCTTGAACTCTATTAATGCTCAGATAGAAGTTCATTAGTTTGTGTCAACATTGGAAGGTAAGAAAGCCAAATAATGCTTCCAGAATAAATTGATAAACCTCTCCCCATCACTCTTTTCTTTGTTTAATTTCAGTTATTTGCAGCTCAAGCTAGTCCTGGTCACGTGCTAATCCTTTATCCTGGAAACACAATGTAGGAAGTAGATGAATTGTGTTGTCATCAGCAAAAATTCAAAAGGATGCATGTAGTAAGTCTAATCTAATTTGTGAAGCTAGTGGATAGAAATAGTTTTTCCTGTTTCAAGTTATGCAGTTACTTCAAATTCTGCAAAAACTCATTTAATCATCCGAAAGCTCATTTAATCAACGCATAGCACAGCTTAAGTGTGACCAGGAAAAAAAGGAAGAAGGATAAGACAATTTACTTTCGGCCAAAGGATGGGCTACATTTTACTTGCTACATATGGAAATTGTGTCTGACACGGAGGAGTTGACAGACCGAGACATCTTTGATCTTCCAAATTTCAAAAGTTGATCAGTAGTTAAGATTTCACTCAAGAAGATCCTAGACTCTGCAAAATATTCTCAGCACCAATGATGCAAGCAAGAATTGAATCCCATTTTACTGCACAAGCACCAAATAAAGTATGAGATAAGTCATAAAGCACAGACCAACTAAGTATGAACACAGTAGATATAACAACCTTGAATAGAGCCACCCTCCAATCTCATACCCCATACCGCTTCAAAGCCATACTTAGACTTGGCATTACATTATATGCTTGATAAGATCTTCTCAACTCAATGATTGAACCCACCTGCAAAGCAGAAGGCAGGAAGAAGAAATGTTTCAGCTTAACATCTGAATGATAATAGCCATTCCACCACATTCCAAGGTATAATAGTAGTGATTTCAACTAAGGGTAAGAAGAATTGCCAGACAACTTCATACGAATTATTAGTCTCTTTGAATCTGTTCTTGTTAAGAACTCTGTCTATATAAGTTTATGGGTTAATTTCATGCTACCTCCTTGTGGTTTCAATTGCAGTTTACTTCCTTTGCTATATGGAATACACATCACCTCACTGTGGACTCGAAAATCATGTGAATTACCTCATTACCGTTAAGTCATACTTGCCACTGCTATTAGTCCTTTGTAACAGTTGTAAAAATTCCAGATCTGCCTAGTGAAAATTTTAATACTCGACTAATCCACCCTCAATATAAAGACATTACCTTATGATATTGCAATGGACAGAGGATTAAATTGTGGCCTGATGCATGGCTAGGTCACAGCCTTCTGAAAGATGAGGGAATGAGTTTCCAGTACAAGGTAGCTTCACAACGTGATGCATATATATCACGATATAGAGCAGATAACTACAGGAACAATCTGATATATACCACAATATAGAGCAGATATCTACAGGAACATTCCCCTTAGAAGGAATTGTCAAGACTTGGAGATTGACCGTGCTATGATCCTGGATAGCCCCGATGCTGTAGAGAAAACTACTTCGAGGATTTGAATTCATACCACATATACATGGTATCATGGAGGGCCAAAATAGGGCTAATGAGCTATTTGGAGGACCAGAGATAATTGTGCACAGTTGGCTCAGGCCAATTCACGGAGTACCAATCGTGTTAAAAGGACCAAGGGACTTGGGGTGTGAAATTGGGAGAACTTCCGCCCGACTAAATATAGATTCAATTCTCTTATAGAGCAATCCAGCAGTAGGCTTATGCCTCCGCTGGACAACTGATAAACAAGTAACTTCTCTTAGGAACAAGAAGAGAGCAATTTCAAGGGCATACCTGAGGGTGTCCAACAAGAACTTATTGGTTGCATAAAAGAGACTATTGAATACCATCAAAAGATAACAGAAGTCATTATCCTTCTCAATCACTTCTCCAATAGACTTTTGTTGTTTGGCTCACTTCTCCAATCGATTAAGATGTGCCAAAGCAACAACAGACCCAGTGTAATCCCACAAGTGGGGTCTGGGGAGGGTAGTATGTACGCAGACCTAACCCCTACCACCTTCAAGAAGGCAGAGAAACTGTTTCCGGAAGACCCTCGGAAGATGTGTAAAAGCAAGAAGAATTTTTAATTAAATAGGCTTAAAAAGATTTAGTAAAGGCATCCATATCACATTTTTTTCATTCCTCTTTTTTCCTTTTCTTTAACCTTAGGGTTAGGGATCCTATTGGTGGGGGAGGGGGG